ATTTACATTGTTACATAACTTTTTTGTCAATGAATTTATTATTATTATTATACAGTAGACTCTCAGTTAACCAAAATCCATGGGAATTGGTAGATGCCAGATGAATAGTGTCTGGTTGCTTGAGAGTTACTATTAATAATAGGCCAAATAATACTATATTATACATTGTACTTTATGTTCATTGACTTGATATTAATATTACAGTAGTTAAAAGCAAATTAACACAAAGATAAAATTAACTAAATGCTCTATTTCTTAGTGCCTTCAATAACCACCCCTACAGTCTTTGTGTAAACCTGGAACAAGAACATCCCTTCAAAGCACATTTTCTGAATATCAACATCACTTGCAAAGTCTAAATTATCTCCACATCAGTTATTCATAAAACATCTTACGATCCTAATATTATTTTCACTGTACTCATTTAAAATAGCAAGCTTCAGAACCATGATAAACACATGCTTCAGACAGTAACAGTAGGAATGAGGAATTATGATACATTATGAACATTGTAACGTAACATGGATACCATTCTAGAGTCATAAGGAGACTAATTAAGAAATGCCTAAAATGCTCCAAGAGTATAAAACAAGCCTCCAAACTCATGAAATACAGTATAATTCTCACATACTATACAACTTCAAGGAATTTGCCAAGGCTAAAAATCTTACCATAGCCTATAAAAGAATTCAACTGTTTATATCCTGGTTAGAAGCAACAAAGATCCACTGGATAGAAGTAACCTTTCAGGAATTTATTCAGTACCTGTAACAGATAATAGAGTAGGCCAACTTTTACATTACTTCGAGGCTACTACATGCCCATTATATCAGCACCTATCAGAACACCAATCTTTGATCAAGAAAAAACAGATATCTACATTATTGGCCACGTTTGCAGCAAACATGGATGTGCTTACTCAGTTCGACCAAGCATGCCTAATACATCACTCAAAGAATTGGTCTGACAGAAAAGCTAGAAATTTATAAAGAATGAAAGAAAGACTTGGCAGTCAATTATAAAGACAATAACACATTAGCATGAGCTTGGAAGGCTTTGTATGAAATCTGAAATTTAACCCTGTACTACTAGCAACATCACTGTACTGAAAATGCTTGTTTCTTTTTAAATACATTTTAATCTTTGCTGGATTTTGAGTTTTAATATATTTTTGATTGTTCTTATCCAGTTTTTTACTTTTCCGGATGTTATAACAGAGAGAAAGTATGGCAATCCAGCAAAAAATGACCCCACAGATTTTTACATTTTTGGACTTAGGACTCTGTGAAATGCTGAGAAATGCAAAAAGTTCAGGTTTTTTCTGTATGTATGGATGTTAATGTGTATATGTGGAGGCACTACTTTGTTCACTTTTTTGAAGCTTAATAATTCCTGTGTTTTTGTTGAATATTTCTGGAATTTTTCAGGGAGGTTTGTTTATTAGGGGAATCAATGCTATTAAATTTTCATGGCTAAAGTCAAGGGAATGGAGAGATAATGGGGGTTGTGTGTATTTTCTGTAGGGTCGGACTTAATGACAAATTTACTCATTATTAGCATTTATAATTTTTTATAAAACTCTATAAAATTTTGCATTTGTGTGTTAACAATTTAAAATTATTGAGAATTATAAAATGATTAAATAATAATAGTGTAAATGAATTAAAAACAATTGGATGATTTTTAAAAAAGTATTTTTGATAACTGTTCTTTTAAAAAATATGATTATGGTTAATCAATTTTTCATCTTGACAACATAGCAATTTTTATTTAGAAATTAATTTTTTTGTGTTTGAAGTTAGATTTTTGAAATTTTGCCAAACTTATTCCAGTTTTGAATCACATTCCTTTATATTTTAGAGAAACAACTTTGGGATTAAGTTGTCATTATTTTTTCCTCAGTTAGTTTGTTTTTAACATCAAAGACAGTTTATTTTTCTCATAATTAGTAAATATTGTGGTTTGTGTTTCCAGTATCATTACTATGCAGACATTTTTCATTTTAAAATATCCATTTAATGCATTTTAAAATGTATTAAACATAGGAATAGCTAGTATTTTATGTATACTTTATTTTTGCTTGTTCATAATTTAGTGGAATTTTTGAAGTTTGACTCTATGCTGTTTGGTATACAATTTAGTTAAAAGTCGATTGAATTTCATCTAGTTAGCATATTGAAGTTTTTTTTCTGTATAATGGAAACAGTGATTCTGGAAAGAAATTTAAAGTTTGTGCAAGAAATAGAAATAACTTTGAATGAAGTGCATCTTTAGATGGCCAAAAGATGCAATTTTAAAGTTACAATATTAACAATTAGTAAAGAAAAATGATTCTGCGGCATTAATCAAATATTAAAAAAGCATACGATGGAAAAATATTTGAAATTTGACAAGAAATTACTTTGATAATTTAAGCAAATTCTAACTGTTGGGATATTGTTTCTCTAGAATAAAGTTTTTTCTTTTATTACTTATTCTGAAATTTTTTTCTGTTAATTATTTCCAGGAAAATTTTTATCCTGTATACACAGTGATAAGAACTGTAAACATAAATTTAAGTAATGAAGAATATAAATAGCATTCTAATTTATTTTAAATGCTGAATTTATCACCTTAAAATGAAAGAAAAGTAAAGTATATACGTATATATTGGGTTGTTCGGAAAGTAATTTTGTTTTTTTTTTTATCACTAGACAGATTAGTCATATTTTTCCCGCCATTTTCATTCTAAACCATATTATCATTATATATTTTGACAGCTAGCATTTTAAGGCTTATTTGTAAAAAATTTTGTTTGATTTTGTGCAATTGTTTATTTTTTGTGTCCCATCAAACATGGAAGATCAAAAGCAGCATTTTAGGCATATTTTGCTCTTTTATTACTGAAAAGGTAAGAATGCTATTCAAGCAAGAAAAAAATTGTGAGACGTGTATGGAGAAGATGTATTGACAGAAAAACAGTGCCAAAACTGGTTTATAAAAGTTTGTTCTGGCAATTTCAATATTGAAGATGCACCACGTTCTGGATGGCCAGTTGAAGCCAATGAAAACAAAATAAAGGTACTGATTGAAGCAAACTGCCGAATAACAACACGTGAAATCACTAAGAGATTAAATTTGTCAAATTGAACTGTTTATGATTACTTGAAACAAATTGGTTTCGTTTCAAAGCTTGATATATGGGTTCCACATGTTCTTAAAGAGAGATGCTCTCTTTGGTGGGATTTTAAGGAAATTTTTTTTTGGAGCTTTTACCAGACAATTTAACAATTGATTCAAAAGTGTACTGCCATTGAGTAAACAAATTGAGTAATATCATCAAACAGAAAAGGAGGCCAGAATTGATCAACAAAACAGGTGTAGTGTTTTACCACGATAATGTCAAATTTCACATAAGTTTGGTAACTGGTCAAAAACTGTTATAACTTAGATGGGAGTGCTATCACACCAACCATATTTGCTAGATGGAGCACACTCAGATTATTACTTGTTCCCATCTATACAAATTTTTTTTTAACTGTAAGACATTTAATTGAAATGACAATGTCAAAAATTACTTGGATCAGTTTTTTGTAAGCAACAATCAAAACTTTTATGAATGTGAAATCATGCTACTACCATAAATGATGACAACAGGTATTTGACCAAAATGGTCCATATACTGTATAATTCAATAATATATTTATTTATTATAAAAATATTGTGATTTTTCCACAGAAAAAAAACAAAATTACTTTCTGAACAACCCGATATTTTTAAAATTAATGAAATGTAGTAATTTTTAAAGTTTAAATGCATTAGATTCTTTTAATTAAAGGAATTTAATTTTTTTTTTTTAAAGTATTAAAAAAAGAAAAACAAAAATTATTGATTAATGCAAGCTCAAATTGTATTTTAAACTTGATAGAATTTAAAAATCACTAAAATATATTTCATTATCATTGAATTTGATAGCAGAAAAATGCTGTAAAATTTTAAAAATATAACAAAATAAAGTTAAATTTGAAAGTTTAATGAACACTTTTAAAATTTTGAGCTTTTGACAAGGGATAAAATGGTATAAATGCAATGTTTTATCAATGTGAAGAAGTATTAAATTAAGCTGTCATGATATTGAAATTGAATGGAATGTAAGCTGGACAAAGATTTGAAGAAAAGAAAAAATGAATGTTTTCAACTGTATATGCATTCTGAAACATCACAAAGTATGAGCTAGTAAAATGTATTAATATGGTTTTGTATTTTGTTGTCTTATGCTGTGTAATAAACTAGAATATAACAGAATTTTATGAATAAATCTGAAGACAGTTAATTAATATAATATAATACAATTGAAATGATTTGTTTTTCTGTAATTGCTGCTGTACTTTAAGGTTTTCTTATGATCTTCTGCTCATTTCTTTATCCAGTTTTGTTTGTATTTTGTACTGCTCAATGAAAGGAAGATACAGGAGAAAATATTGGGAAAGATTTTTAAGTTATGAAATGAAATAAACAATACATAAAAATTTGTATTGTTTTAATAATTACTTAAAATAAACTATATAAACTTCAGCATAAAAATGTAGCAAAAGTGAAAAGTAACAATAAAAGTATTAAAATATGAACATTATTTTAAGAAGTAATGAAATTTCTATTATCAAAACAGTAAAAATAGTCATAGGTATGATTGCTCCTGTTATTTCTATCTGGCTCTGTCCTTATGTTTTAATGTTGCTTAAATTTAACATTTAATGCCTCCTCAAATTTTTCAGTAATTTATAAATATTATACCTGATATTTAGCCTGATGTTATACGGCAATTGTTATAGCTTTAGTTTTATCTACATTTCAAATTTGTTAAAGGCTCAGTGACAATTTAATAGTTTTAATAAAATTAAATAAATTTTGCTGATATCTCTAATATGAAATGAATTTTAATAAATTCATTTTATATTAGAGATATCAGTAATAATGAAATTGTACAATGAATTTATTCTTCTTTTTTTCCTTTTATTTAGAATTCAATTCGACACAATCTGTCCTTGAATAGATATTTTGTCAAAGTACCACGATCTCAAGAAGAACCAGGTAAAGGTTCATTTTGGAGAATAGATCCGACATCAGAAACTAAATTAGTTGAGCAGGCTTTTCGTCGACGGCGGCAGCGAGGTGTCCCGTGTTTTCGTACTCCTTATGGAAATTTATCCTCCAGGTAATTTATTTAATTTTATGTACTTAAGTTAAGTTAAAAATTAATTGTTAACTAAGTAAAGTAGAATTTTTCAAATACGTTAAATGTATTTAATAGCTTCTAATATAGGAATGAAAATATTTCCAAAACATTTGAGCAAATATGTTTTTGTGTAATATGTTGAAGTTATTCTTTGTTTTATGAGTTACAGTACAATCTCAGTAATCTGACCTACGTGGGACCAGAACAGTCAGATTAAGGACATTACCATTAGAAGTAAGGTGAATTCACTGACTTATTAACCAATTTGAAGGTGTAGATTCATCTGTTACTGATGCAGAAATTCATAAGTTGGAGTACTGCTTAGAACATCCAAGAGTATTGTCACTGATAATCAGTGTTGTCAGATTGATGGATTTCCACTAAATTTAGTGGGAAGTGCAGTATTTTTTATGTGAAATTTCACAAGGCTGATTTTTGTATTTATACAGTATTTTGTTGTAAGATACTGTACTTTTTTCAGTAACCTATGGTGATAAGTGTAACAATCTTTAATATCATGTCATGTTTAGTGGGAACTGGAGTTTAAACTAGTGGGAAGCTTGTATGACTTGGCAACTGGGCCAGTAATACCTAAATGTCGGATTATTGAACAAGTCAAACTAGCAAATGGCCAGGTTACTGAGATCATATGTGATATAGTTTTGTAATATAATTATCAATATATATAAAATGCCAAATGATTTATTCATGATGGTCAACAAAACTTGACGCCACAACAATAATAATATTAATAACAATAACAAAACAAAGTGCTAAATAATTGAAGTTTTTGACTATTTACAAAAATATAAAATTTTCGAATCTATCTTAATCCTTTTTTATATACCACACCAGAAGTAACAGTTAGCATGGTTTTTTGCTGAAGAATAACTTCTTAAAAAACAAAGGTAAACAAGTAAAAACAGACTCGCAATGTTAAAAACGATCAAGTGTCAGCTTTCTGTTGTAGGTTCTGACACTTTACATTAAAAACATGAAGAATTCTTCTCACCGACTCGAAAATTTTATATTTTTGTAAATAGTCAAAAACTTCAATTATGAAGAATTATATCCTGAGTTATTACAGAAATTGTATTAATATGCAAATAAGTAGGATAACTTGAAATTACCACCAGAGGGCCTGAAGCAGTTAAAGAATGGATAAGGACAGTACGGTGAGAAGAATTCTTCATGTTTTTAATGTAAAGTGTCAGAACCTACAACAGAAGGCTGACACTTGATCGTTTTTAACATTGTGATTCTTTTTTTACTTGTTTACCTTTGTTTTTTAAGAAGTTATTCTTCAACAAAAAACCATGCTAACTGTTACTTCTGGTGTTGTATAAAAAAGGATTAAGATAGACTCGAAAATTTTATATTTTTGTAAATAGTCAAAAACTTCAATTATGAAGAATTATATCCTGAGTTATTACAGAAATTGTATTAAAGTGCTAAAGTTCTGGTTACCAAAAAGCTATTTAATTGGAAATGTTTTGACATTGACTTAGCTGACAGAATAAATAGAATAAAATTGTTTTAAATTTAAAAATTACAAATTTGAATTTAGAAGAAAAATAAAAAGTAAAATAAAGTAAAAATTGACAAAAATTGACCAATTTTTAACTTATTATTTAAAGTATTTTATTGGTAACCAAAGCTTTGACAGTTTGTTTTATTATAATTCATCCATTTCAATTGCTATTAAGATGTAATTATTTTCCATAAATTTAAAATGAACATTTTAACGTACGAGAATAAATTCTTGTTTATAATATTATGCTTCGAATGAAATTTAGGTCTGCTCCTGCATCACCAAGTCACAGTGGCCCAAGCGGACTCGTCACACCTGATTCCCTTTCGAGAGAACCGAGTCCTGTACCCGAAAATTTGGTTGATGCGAATACACTGGAAAATCCTTTTACTACTGCTGCTTCAGCCATGTTACCTCCACCAGGCTCTTACTTATCTGTTTCGTCTAATGAAATAAAAGCTAGTCTTTCGGCTCCTGGTTCCCCAAGTAAGTAGATTTGAATTATCTATTTTATTATGGATGGATGTGAATAATAATTGAAAATAGTTTGCATGTCATTGTTTAATAGGAAATGTTAAAAATTATATATATGGAAACAAAATTAAAAGGTGGCAAATAATGGGAAAATCTAAAACAATGTGAAATTAAAAATTGAATTAATTTTATTTTTAAAATGACCTTAAAATGTATTTTCTGTATAATTCTGTATAATATGTAAAACATATTTTGAATATGATGAAAACAATTGCTTTTGAATTTATTATTTTATTGCATTTAATATTTAATCATCACAATAGCCAATCAGTGGTCATAATCTTCTGAAAATTGTTTTTTAGAGTTAGACATGCATAAAACGAGATATGTAAATGATGATTATATTCAGTATCAATATACTAATGTTCAGTTAATAATCAATCTCACTTACAAGTGTTGGAATTTGAAATTTGTCAATTATAGTGTAAATATGCTTATAGCTTTTGCTAGCATTTTATTCCTTTCTGACAAATTAAAATTCAGTAAAAAAAAAAATTCTAGTCTGTTATAGATGTAGGCCATTTCATTTTGAGATTCAAACCTTTGTACATGAATTAGAAAACAAATTGATTCCCTTTTGTTTTAAGTAGAAGTGACAAAATCTATGAAGTATCATTGGTTTGTTTCATTAATTTAAATACTTATGATTGTTTATCAATTTGTTACATATTGATTTATTTGTTAGAAATATAATATTGAAGAAACAACAGATTAAAAAATGAAACTTAATGATAATTATTTTTATTAGGACATGCTAATGTTACCAATACAAGTTCAATGCTACAACCTTTAGGTAACAGTTCTCATGTCATGGCATTTTCTGGTGCCAAGCAGAAAGTATTGATCACATCACAGCCGGTTTCAATGACAACAAATGGAGTGTTGAATAAAGTGTCACATCAGGATGAAAAACAGGAACAAGGTGAATATATTTAACATGTTACTGATTCATAGAAAATGTTGGGGTTTGTTGTTGCATAAAATATATATTTGTTGTAACTTCACAACATTTATTTTATGACTATCATGAATTAGAAAAAAGAAATTACATTTCTTTCTTCTAATTCATATTCAGATATAGAATTTTGAATCTTATGCTATGATTTATTTTCACTAGCTTTTATTCATTTCATTTTGGATACAATATTTAAATTGTCACTATGGCATCTTAATAATGTATAACTAAAGCTGTAGATAGCAGAAAAACCAGTATAATTTGGGAGACTGTTGTTATAACAGCATTCTTGCTTATGTTGAAATAAACTTTAGATTTTTTGTGGAAAATATGTAGAGATTACAAAATCATCCTTATGAAAATAATACATGCTGAATTTTAAAAAATTATGTTTAAAATTAATATAAATATATAGTTTAAAGAGATTATAATGCAAATATCAGTATTATTAATAAGAAATAAATTGTCAAAAATATCAACTGTTTTATAAATCTCAATTACTCCACATTTACCCATACTGGTCATTTCCATTGCAAATGAGATTCGCTTGTAATAGACATAATTATAGGCTCTTTGACTGGCCAAAATTTATGTTAATGAAACAACAAGAAATATGAAATGCTCAATTTTAAAAATGAATCAAATTGTACTAGAGATTTACACAAGTGCATAAATAGTGAATAGTGTGTGTATAATTTTAACATTCATTTAAAAATTATGACATCTGTAATTTAATTTGACCATCTTTTAGCTTCATTTAATATTCAAAAAATTATTTAATATGCATTTGAGTTAGTATAGTTATGTAATATTTGGGCATTAATCTTGGAGAGTGACTTATTGTTTCATCTTTCTCAAATATACAGTGTATTATAATGTATTTTGGGAGTATAAAGAGTAAGCCAAACTGTCTTTCAGCATTAAAATTGTTTAATGTCTGTTTGATTTTCTAAAAACTATATGCTAAGATTTAATTAAACTGTGTTTGGAATTTTTTAACGTACTTTTTAAATAATTGTTATTCAAATGTTATGTATGCTCAATTTGAAGATGATATCTTGAAATGTCAAAAGTACTTGTTTGTAATTAAAATTAGAGATATTATAATTTTGAATTGTCAATATGTAATTGTTTTCCTGTATTATTTGCTAAATTATTGATTTGTTTTTTTAATATTTCAGAAGAAGTATATAACCAGCTATCTACAACTTCCAAACCAGATGTTCATTATTCACAAAAAATTTCTTCAGGTACTGTAGATAGGTCTATAGTTCAACCAACTGTTATAGTCCAAGCTCCACCATCGTCTCTTCCCTCTTATTCATCCGTTAGTTCTGTAATATCACCATCCAACACCTACAGTAATACTCTATCTTCGTCGGTCATCAGCCAGTCAAATACCTTTACCATGCCCCAACTTCAGATAATTACCGGAGAAATGGATAATTTGAATTCGCCATCTTCTAATGTAAGTCTGGCAACAAAACGGCCGTTTTCAAGCACAGTTGACGGCAACAACCAGGAGGGAGAAATAAGTTCAAGCAGGGAGGAACCTGAAAAACGGGTCAAAGAAGACAGTGCCGTATCTTGTAGCAGTGACAGTTCATAAGAGAAAAACCTCACTTAGAAAAAAATAAACAAACATTCATCATTAAGAGACAGTCAATGTGTAAGTGTTGAACTGTGCATGCCACAGACTCTATTTGCTCCTGCTCACTCTCGCCATTCATTAGAAGAGGGTTTCACAGTGAAATACAGTTCCCGCTAAGAATGAGTAGGTGCTAGTGGCTAGAATCGTGTTCGTCATCCTAGCTTCTAGAAGTTTTTTCCTCCTTTATCGAAAATAAAAGTAAAAAAAGTCTTAAAATTTCAATAAACTTCTATAGAGTTTTGCATATCTTAATGGCTAGCTACTAAAATTGACGAATAAACATTATTAAAGAAAGAAAATGCAAAAAAGACTTAATGTTTTCAAACTGTTTCGAAATCTTCATTGTGTCTGTGTCAAGGATGTCGAAGGGATTCGAAAGCTCGTATACTTGCCATTGTGAAAATCAAAACAATGATATTACAATGGTGTAATGAGTCTTGAATGTATAGCAATTATTCATGTGGCCAATTTTCATTATGTGAAACAAATACAGACTGTTGTCATCAATGTGACAATGTTTTGATTGTTCCACTGTACACAAGTGTCTTGCCATTATTGCTTGATCCTTCCTTCCAATAAATCCTATGCTCTAAGGAATAAATATTACTGAAGTATTACTTTGGGAAGTACATTACAAAAGTTTTTGCATAATCATCTAAGAGATTACAAACAAAATTAAATGACTCCTTACAGGTTAATATACAATACAATAACATAACTGGTTTTATAAATAATTTTAGTTTTGAAATTAATGCTGCACAGTAAACTAATTTTATTATTAACCATTGTGTCTTTTTTTTTTTTTAATTTAAGGAAAGTATCTAAATTTGAATTCTAAATACATTATATATTATTTGAAATTCAGTTATATTGAATTATAAAAGTTGGATACAAATAAAAATCAATGCAAAAAAATTGTAAAGTAATATTTCCTAAGTTTTATTCTGTTATTCCTGTGTAGCACATTAGAATATAACATTGTTTAAAAATGAATTTGACACTCACTAGTCAAGAAACAAGAAATGCTCCTTATATTAGAATGAATATAAATAATCTTAGATAAATAAAATATATCAAATTATTAATGTAATACTTAAAAAAATATAAATATATATATATATATATATATGATACTTTGATGACTTGTGAGACCATTTCTTCCTGAAAATGGTTCAAAAATCCTTATAGTCATGAATCTCCTTTGGTTAACCAAGCATGTAAGTAATATAGCCCAGTCATTGCTTTATTTTTTTGCAAAGTTCATTATAAAGGTAATGTCATCTGTTTGTTATATTCCATATTAGAGATAAACAAATATTTAAGAAAACTATATTTAATCAAAGTGAGAAAGTTACATAAGTTTATAAACTTACAATTATATTTTGAATTATTTATTATTACAATATAGTCTTAGTTATCTGATAAGACTTAGAAATCAAATGTGCAGCAGTTGAGTAAAGTAGCTTATTTATTTGAATAAAAAGTTGTTAAGATTCCCTATTACTAAATTAAACTCTAATTAGAGTAGTTAATTATGGAAATAATAAAAAAAATGTTAAATCCTTTAGTAAATATCTGATTAAAAATTAACATTTTTGACTTTTTTTTCCTCAGAAACATCTGGTTACATAATTACAGTATTTATATATAAATTAATTTGATACTTTTTGATGTTCAGTAAAGAAATTCAGCAGAAACAAAAGGCCATAATAAGAGTTTCTTTCAGCAAATAAAATATTTATTGTTTAAAAGTTGTAATGGTTGATTGATTTTGTTTTCGTTTATCTTTGCTGCAATATTGTTCCATCAATATTTTATGTAGATGTGAGGAGTATATGTCCCACTAGATAAAACAGAATGCTAGATAATTAAAACTGTATTGTAATAATAATAATAATAATTGAAATTTTCTCTCTCTCTCTCCCTCACTAATAACAGAATAAACAGGTTAATAATTAAAATCACAATAATGACAAAGTATACTGTAATTTGAACAAATCTATTATTATAAATGCTCTGAAGAGATTACGATAGTAAACCAAAATATCAAAACTATTTAACAGAATCATCCAGTAGAATCTAAAAAATCCAGCAACAATTTGCATAATATTCCTGTCAAAAGAAAATTTTAAGAAACACTAAGACACTAGCACAATGTTGAATTGTATGTGGTGTCATTGTTATAAAAGTTATTTTTCAATGAATCTCATATTATTAATTATTGTAAAAAGGCAAAAGGCTTAATTTTGAGGGTAGAGATGAGAGTTAAAAAAATATAAATGCCAATAATGAGTAAACCTTTCATTGTCTGACTCCACTTAAGATATACATGATTGTATTCCATACCCCAAAATCTAACCGAATCAATACCTCATATTCTTTTTATATATATATATAAAGTTATAATGCCAAATTTTGTTTCTTAATCTTTACCCTATCCCGAGATATTAAAGCAAATAGATGCTAACACACGCACAGAGAACTTTATCCTGGTTTTTACCTTTTTTTTTGCACTCAGAGGGTCTCAAAATGTCGATTTGCAAGAAAATCAAAGGATCAAATTTGATATGATTCCAATACTTTTCCATGTTATATATAATGGTCAGGATAGTAAAAAAATTAATTAAAATTTGTAACATTAACAATAATACTTATTGATGAATGTAATAAATAAGTTGACAAATACCGATTGATCAATGTCTAAGAGTAATTGACACTAATAAACATGCACACTATTATTTTTCTCATATAAAATAATGAGTATTTGATATGTAGCTTGCAATATTATTGAATTACAAAACTTAAAAATAAGTAATTTCTTCATGTTACTTTGTCTAAAAAAATGCTAACATTAGTATTTTTGTTCTGCAGAATCTTGTATAATTACATAATAATACAACAGATAGATATAACGATTAAAATCAGTAAACTCTAAAATCTAGAAAAATATTTTTTAATTTGAACAAATTATTATTATAACATGATGATAAAATATGAAAAATAAATCTAGTTAGACTACAGACAACCATATGGACATGTCAAAATTACAAAAGGAAATAAATCATACTGAGTGTGAAATTGTCTATGAGTATTTTGGTGCTGTTAATATAAAGCTAGAAATTTCAATGAACTTACAACATGTAAAAGCCAAAGACTTAAAGAAAAAATTTAAACTTAAAGCTAAGGTGACAAATATAAAGTTTAAATTTTTGATGACTTAGTGAATACAATTCTGGATTTATTTCTTAACCCCTGAATATTGGCAATTTAATTGTCACAGTAAGAAGATAGAAAATGGACTAACAGTTTGTTTAAAGCATACTTGTTTTCTTCCCCAGAATATTGGAGGATTTTGCAATTTTCATAAAAAAATGAAGTTAATTTTATTCAATTTCATTGCAAAGTTTTGCATGAAATTTTTTTTTATTTCTAAGGATCATGTAGGGCCTACACACTGATCCCCATGCTCGTGAATAATTGGGACTGAGTAATCCTTTGTTGAACATTGAAAATGGAACTCAGTTGAGAGAGTTTGGAAGTCTGAGAATTTGATGTTAAATTTGTAATTTGTTCCAAGACTTTGTGTACTGCAGCTATTTTAAAAAAAATTTCAGAAAAATGAATGGTTTTATTAAATAAATGTACTATGCAATTGTTTATAGTGTTTGCAAAAGTCATTTTATTTAAGCCAAAAGAAAAAAATAAAACAGTAACATAACATATGACAGACACTATGCAAATGAGTGAGCACAGTGATATTTCAGCATTGTGCCTGCTTGAACATCAGTTTGCATGGCGCCGACTCCAGTTTACACTAGTATATAAACCCATTTCCGAAAAGGTCAAAACCTTTCATCAAAAGTTGAAATTTTGGTGCATAAATTTCCACATTGAATTCCTAAACACTGACATACACTTCATCCTTGAAGTTTGTGGATTTTAAGTTTGCCTATTGCCCATAACACACTCCTACCAGGTGGAATGAAACCATAATTTTATGCTTATGTATCATTATTCATTCAGTGGTTATCATCACATGCCTTTGATATGTTATGTGACATACACTGCACCTGGTTTAAAATAATGACTCTGCTATTTTTAAAGTTTACAAGCATAAAATATGCAATTCCTAACATAAAATACATTTATACAGCTGTATTTATTAATGGTAAGTGCTACAAAAATGTCTTTAATATCATATAGAAATAAGATTGTGTGTATATAGCAACATCCCAAAAGATTGTGATATTATGTATATGTATCTCCGATTAAAAATAATCACTTTATATTCAATATTGGCATCAGTCAATGTATGATAATGTAGAATAATAATAGTAATAAATGGAGGACAAATACTGTCAGTCCGTACACAAACCAAATAAAAATAAACCTTGTCGCATTATAGTACTGTGTTTATTCTAATTTTGAAGAAATTTCATTAAAGGACTTTTCAAAAGTGTGATAAATATAAAATTCTTATTAAAATAGCATTTGATGAAAAAATTAATTAGAATTTTAATATTATGGTAAATAAACAGTGTTTGTATTAGCATTTCAGATTTTATTAAACCATTATTCAAAATTGAATGTGGAAAACATTTTAAAATACAGTCAATTTCCTGTGCAGTGATCAAGAGAAAGTATTGTAGAAAGATTTATTGTTATAATGAAAATTTTTAAAGTATCCCCTTCCTCATTTAGCATTGTTGGACTGCAAGTAGTGTTATTTCTACAGAGTTTGTATTTTTTTTTTTAATCAAACATTGTCTAAGTATTCTCTAGAATAAGATTTAAGTGATTTTATTGTATATTATTTCCACATTAACTTACATATTAAACATTGGAATCCAAAATTAATCGGAATCATTGTAGACAAAAATGAATTAAGTAAAAGTAATTCTAAAGTGTAATTCCTGCAGGAGAATATGCTTGTTAAAATAATTACAAAAAGCAATTTGCAATTCTGAGGCATCTTTACTGCATCATAGTCACTGTAGAGAATGGAAAATACTGTGTAATTTATTAGTACAGTATATTAAAAAAGTATTGCTAAACAGATTTATTGCATTAGAGGATATCATTCAGTCGGGAGAAGTTTTACATTAAGCTAATACAGATTAGATATATAACTACATTTCTTATTGTTATGGAGGGATTTATCATTACATCAATAGTTGCTGTACTGAGATTTGACTGTATATTATAAATTATATATAAAATGGCATATTTTCTTGTGGTGTAGATCAGTGTTTCTCAAAGTTTTTGATCTGCAACCCCCCCTTTTGCAGTTAAAAATTTCAAAGGACCCCCTGAAGAATGGGTATATGTAGAAAAGCATTCCGAAGGGGGGGATAATTTAAATTCAGGAGGCGTTAATTTTTTTTGTTTAATTGCATTGAAACACTCATAATTTTATAGCAGATTTATTTTTAGTAGCATTAAAAATTAATAACTTATCTTTGATACATCTTTGAACAAAATATTCTATGTATATGTTTTGGCATTAGTAAACTCAATTAGTTAAGTTAAACATATTTTAAATTAAATTTAATGTGATGGGTGAGCCTTCTTATTTTGTCACAGTAAATTAAACCTGGGTTTAATATCAATCAGTGCAGGTCTCATAGCAATTTCTATGTTGCAAAGACGAGAGTGCTGCTTTGTTTTGATGTTGGTCATTACTGAAAATGCCATTTCGCATAAATAAGTGGTTGCAAATGGTAAGAGAACTGCCATTGCTAATTCAGAGAGTAGTGGCTACTCTGTTTTCACACTAAGCCAAAAAGAATCTACTATTTCTAAACATGAATCCATAGTAAATTTATAAAATATTTGAAAAATATTTTATAAATTTACTATGGATTCATGCTTTCACTGCGACTCCCCCACTTTGAGAATCACTGGTGTAGATATTTTATATTGAGCAAGTATTCATTGATTTGATGACACAAATCCATCATTATGATGTCAGCATCAGTTATTAAATTTGTGTAAATGCACTTTTTCATATTTTTATTTTGTACATAAAAGGCTTTATTTAATATACTTAATTTTATTACAGAAATTTAAAATATTCTTCCTTATTTCTTTTGCATTATTAGAAACTTCTATTTTTAAGTAAAATTTCTGAATTAAAATAAATTTTATTTATATTTTTATGTATATTTTACTGCTATTATATATCTTCTATACAAAACTATTTATTTACTTACATTATTACAACAATAGCTTGAGAATGTATTGCATGTTTTGTTAAAACATATGTTGTGTGTGCGAGTAAATGCTGATTCCATATTTAACATTCATTTAGTGTGTATATTAATATATCCATGATAAAATGAGTTTGTTCAGAGTTTCATAATCTCTAAATTAATTTATCACTGCTTTTCAAATACATTATGCCATTTAGCATTAAGTAAAACAGAATCTGAAGAAAAAAAGTGATTTGTAAGCTCTATATAAACATGATTGGTTTCAAACCCTTGTAGCTAATTAAATTTCATGACATTTTTTTGTTTTCAGTTGAGTATTCCAGCTAATTTCATTGCCTTAATAGATAAAATTAATTAAGACCACTTCATAATTAATTAATTAATTATGAAGTGCCAGTGCACAAGCCAATTATGCACTGGCATTTCATAGAAAGAAATGATGAGTAGAGTCATTTAGCTCAGAGGAAAAGGTTTGATTCAACACTTGAAACTATTAGGATTAAATCCAAAAGAATAGAACTAACCTTTGCATCATATTTTCTATAAATTCCATAATAAAGTATTCATTTTTTAACTCTCTCTGCCCTGTAGACTAAGCAAGGCTTTTTTTTTTAACAAGCCCACAATGGAATGGCTGGGTGGGAGTGACAGACCTGATATATCCAGAATGGACCACCCCCAAAAATGGCCCAAGGTTTTTTGATTTGTTTGAATTCAGCCCCAAGTCCCCAGAGCAGTAGGTTACCATCTTAACTGCTTGGCCACCTGGCCATCCTTTTATTCTGTTTAGAGACACTACATTTAATAAGTGAAAGTACGACACTGTTAACTCAATTTAAACATCAGAGATTAGATTGAAAGACTGAATGCAATGGCAATTTATTTTTGACTGCTATTAATTAAAAAATCTGGAAATATACTGTATTTCTTGAATTAGAGACACACCCCAAAATTATAATGCCATTTATTTAGAAGTATGCCTAACTAGATGAAAAAATAAAGTACTGGAAGTATTGTTATGTATGGCAAAAAATGTCTGCATTGAAATTTAGAAAAAAGTTTAATATTTCTTGGAAATTGTAAATTTTATGTTGCAAAGTACTATGAAATAGAAAACAAAGTATAGAAATAGGAAAAAAAATTAAAAGCAACAAGAAACTGCTGACATCACTGTGTTGGCTAAAAAAACAAATAATAGTTACAAAATTTCAAATTTTTATACAGGATGTACAAAAATGTATTTAAACTTTTTCCACTAAACACTAAAGTTTTAATAAAAATAAAGTCTTGTGTACAATATTCTAGTTTCTCCTATAGCAAAATGTCAGGAATTCCTGGAGGCTCCAAAATCTGGGGATCAGGTCTGGAGACCTAGCAGGCCAGATTCGACAGATGATGTGTTCGGCAAACAAGTCAAAAAACCAAAATGTCTATGAGAAAACAGTACTGCAAAGTGAAAATGCAGGATGTATGAATTTCAGGTCTCCTATGCAATAACATTCATATAACTTTAATGTTGTTACAAATTTTTCATGGTACTTTTTGGACACTGTAATACAGTATTATACTTTTTAAAACCATTTTTATTTTATTTTAAATAACTTCAATAGAAGCACCTTCTTGTACCTGTAAAAGCTACAGATTATTTTTAGTATATTTTATTGAAATCAGTTGTTTTTTTATGTTTTGAGACCAATTAATCATTTATAATAGACTACACAATATCTCTGATTTTATCTTGAAATTTGAATTTTTTTTTTTTTTTTTTTGGTAAATCTGTCCTGTGGATACTAAAACAGCCTTTCTTTCCATAATTGTTGCGAATTCGTCTAGACCCAAAATGGGGCAACCAGGTGGCAAGGGATGGGGGCCTGAGATATCTGGACCACCCATAAAAGATTCAAGGTAACCAGTTAACCATTAAGCCATCTAGCCACTGGAAAATCTTTTTCATATTTTCAAATTAAATGTTTATATTTATTTTTACAGGTATTATTATTTTTACATTATATTATATTATTTTATTTATTTATTTATTTTTTAATATATTTCAGTTTTACTTACACTAGCCAATGGCTTTATACGATTTAACAAAAATAATTTTATTTCTACAGGTATACTGTCTTTTTATTTTAATAATATTTTATTACATTTATTTATTTACTTATTTCTTTATATTAATTTTTTCAGTTTTACTTATTTTACCCAAAGGTTTTAATAACTAGTTATTCCAGCTGTCATTATATTATTTTTTAGATAAACATAATTACATTTTTTAAGAAAATTTTTGTATGTTAAATATAATTTAAAACATTCTGTAATTTCTTACCTAATTTTTTTGCTGATATATTTAATTAAATAGGCCTGAGAAGAGGCTAATATTAAGCCCGAAATGCATATCCTTTTAAATTAAAAAATCTTTTCCATCAAAAAGAAAGTTCCTGTGTGATTTGTTCTCGACAGCAACCTTGTGCTAATTCTGAAGGAAATACAACTAATCGAGAGAATAGTAAGCAATCAAGTACTAAGAATACTACAAACTGCTGAGCTCCAGCAAACACCGAAGAGATGGAAGAATAAAATTATTCTTAGCATTCTCATGCTTTAAAGATTCTCTCTTTGATGTCTCATGATTAATTCTTATAGAAATAATGAAGCTATTGGTATATTATTCTAATTAAATTTAATCATTTTGGTCATTTTAAAATTTATTTTTGTTTAGGTTTTAAATTTCTTTTAGGATAAATTATTGATTTTATTGTACTGCATGAGTATAATTAATTCTAAAAATACAATTATCTAATTTTATATAAACTTTTTCCATTGTCCAAAACACACTATGAAGTGAAAGTGTGTGTATAGATAAAGGTAAAGGAAAGTTCTTAGATCCTTAGTTAATGAGATGTAGCCAGCATTATTATTATTACTGCATTATTATGATTTATTTGATCTTTAAGGAAAAGAATGGTTGGTGATGACCCTAAATGGTAGCAGAAAGAAGGCATCATATTACTGAACACTTTAGAAACAATTGTCAACAATACATTGCAATATATTTTGAATGTAGGGTCATTCTAAAATTGAAGATTACAAGCACAAATAAATTTTCATTTTGAGTGTCCAAGGGCACAAGAGGGCCTTTTTCTTATGCCTGTCGTGGTTCACAATTATGACCATGTGGCCCCAACATATCAGGAACAGACTGATACTGAAAAAATTCTCAGAAATGCCTGCAGGGATTTAATCCCAGTCTCCATGTTAGTAGGATGCCACCTTAACCACTTTGGTCCTAATGCAAAATATATTTGATTATATATGTTTAATTTTAATACTAATAAAAGAAAAGTGTACTTAAAAGCACATTAAAATAAGGCATAAATAATTTTAAACATATTTATTAGACAATTAAAAATGATTAATTTATATTATAAATACTTTTTATACAAGGAGAAAGAAAAAAAAAATTAAGAAAAACATCACTTGTAACATCAAAGATAAATCGTAAAATTGGCAAACAAAAAAAAATGAGCTCGACGACAAACATTTAGAACTATTATTATTACAAAAATATCTTATTTTTAACAAATGTTTTTTACTTTGAACAATCACAACAAAATTTGATGATTTTGAGGTTCTTTCAGGAGATCTTCAGAACATTCTTTACTCCTAAAATAATTAAAGATGTAGATGAATAATTCAACATAACATAATCATCGTTTTTTGTTTTTTTTTAATATATATACATACAATATGGACATATATAACTGTTATAAAAAGGCATAAAGTTTGCCACGTCGTGTAAATATCTAAATTCTATAAAATTTTCAGTGAAAAACACATCCAAATTTAATATTGCCTCAGCTCTTTCGAATTGAATTAAGGGGGGGTCACATGTACTAGATTTGGCAACGTTTTACAATTTACATTTTAATGTTTAGAATTAAAAAGTGTGCAATTCGTATAACACAATCACAAATTCCATATAAAATATAAAAGGCCTCTATTATTTTTGCTCATAAATGAATAATTTAGAATTTAAATTCACAAACTATATATTTAATATTGCCATATTTACAGAATTTCTTGCTTCATTCGTGCGTAAGTAACATAGAATTAACTTTTTCAGCCCAGATTTCTCGTCGATGTAACACTGGCAATTTTAAAACAAAAATTATCACATGGGCTTTCCATAACGTTTTAATTATTCAAAAATATAATCAGCGATGGACATTAAATTATATTAATATGCAGCAATCGTTAATCCATTTAAATCTTTTGAGCAAATTTAAAAATTTCATTTTGCAAATGTATAAAAATTTATATGCAATTTTTATCCTTTTTTCAATAAAATTTAATAGTAATAATTGTGTTTTTTTTTTCTTAATGACTTTCCTTCTAAGTACTTTTTTGGCATACGTCAGTTATCAGAGAGAACTCTCATTTAAATTATCAATATCGATCGGCTGTTCCTCATTTGTGGCAATATCCTGACTGGGAACAGCATCGTTATGGTTACTAGTAATGCTATTTTTATGGTTAATCGAGGTAACATGACTCCTAGACCTACTGCCAATGTGGTTGCTAGAATACAAAGCAGGATGATTGGGTGGAGGCGGTGGCGGAGGTCGACTTGTAGGTTTCGTTCCATAGACACTGGATCGATTTCCTTCTCTACTCAGCTGATGCATGTCTCCGTCTTCAACTCTTCCATTAATATGAAGTGACTGCCTGGCGCTCAGTCGTTCCCTTCGGAATTTTTCATAATGTACCAACTTAGTTATGTCGATAAGGTCTTGCATGTGTGTCCTAAATCAAAATATTTTTGTAAAAAGTTCAGAAATTTTTTGAATAAAATTACTACATTTCCTCAATTCTAACACACTTTTTTCACTTATAAAATTACTTATTATATCCATAGTCCAAAAATAATTATTGTAAACAGATGCAATGCACAGTAGAACCCAGATTAACTGAGGTTTGATATTATCAGAGGAAAATTCGTAAATGAATACATTACTTTTCTTATATCATATTTTGTAAAAGCTTTTCCAAATAATAATATCCATGTGTAAATACTGTATTAGTTTTAACTTTGTATTGACAGTGGCTGATTCCAAAATGACTGCAGAATATTGCAGCAAAGAAGGAAGAAACTGCTACAAAACAAACATCTAAAATGTGACAAAATATATTACAAAAAGAATGAAAATGTGAGACAAATCATAGGACTATTGTATTATTGTGGTATGTATTAATCTAGGTCACTGAAAACAAACACTAATGCAGAGAAATGCAGTTTTCATCATACTATGTGACACTGGGTTAAAAACATTATTGATACTAAACCTTTTCCACCATAATAGTCAAAGCTGGAACTTCAGTATATCAAGACACTAAAAACACACCTTTTACACTTTTCCAGCAACTAAATTTAATCAAAACACTTTTTTGGCTTAATTCCATGTATGCGTGTTATTTTTCTTAGTATCTTAGAATGGGATGAAGATAAAGAAACAAAATTTGGCACAGTAGCTTGTATATAAGGGGGTGTTGATGCTATTAAATTTTGGTTGTGAAAGGTCAATGGGATGGAGAGATAAGAGGTGGTCATATGATATCTCATGAGGGGTCAGACTATAAATTCTAAGAAGTAAAATCTTCATTAACTTTTTATAACAAAATCTCATAACAGATTGTCCCACATACAATTTTACTTACTTATTTTGATTAATAATACAAAAATGTTATTTTTAAAATAAAATCTCATAAAAGCTGGAAAAGTTATGCAACTTGTTGCTAGATTTTTTAAATTGTAAATGGGTTTTTTGATTATCCTATATAACAAAAAATTTTAACATAAAATACATTTAAATATTAAAATAATAAATAATATGTTGTTGTTGTTTTTATTTTTAATTGTATTCTAACACCATAGTTTTTAAAGCACAGCAAGTCTTATTTGATAACAGCTAAAAGGAGGGTAACAAACAACCACCATGCAAACGATAGCATTGCACAGTCTCTGGTATTAATGCATTGTTCTCTTAATGCAGATNTGATTTTATTGAAAAAAAACATCCCGAAAAGGTTCACACTGGCCGTATTGCTGCTCAGAGTAATGATATTTGCCTAAGTCATTTTAGAAACATTTTAAAAAGTAAATAAATAATAAAACAATGGGATCGGTTATTCTAAATATTAAAATAATAAATAATATGTTGTTGTTGTTTTTATTTTTAATTGTATTCTAACACCATAGTTTTTAAAGCACAGCAAGTCTTATTTGATAACAGCTAAAAGGAGGGTAACAAACAACCACCATGCAAACGATAGCATTGCACAGTCTCTGGTATTAATGCATTGTTCTCTTAATGCAGATTAATATCTCTGCAGTTTTTAATTTTTAAATCTACATTAAGAGAACAATGCATTAATAGCAGAGACTGTGACACTATCCTTTGGATGGTTGTTGCACCCCTTCAATGATACCGTAAGGGCTATTGAAGGGTAGTTCGTGACAAGCTATAAAAACCATGGTGTCTTCTTAGCTGGTAGTGTTATTTCTTTCATTTTTATTCATATTTTTTATATTTAAATGTATTTTATTTTATGTTATAACTTTTTGTTATACTGGATAAATTATAAAAATATACTTCATACGTTTCCAGCACTCACTTAATATTGATATATCAAACAAGAGAATGCAACATAACTCTGTATCTGGACAGCTTCTAACCCAAGGCAGGTCTGTAAATCAGCCCAAAAACATTTGCTCGATGTATCAAGTGAGTGCTGGAATATATGAAAAGTTGTGTTTGTATAATTTAACCAAAAATTCCAGCTTTTAGAAGAGAGTTGAATATTGGATAAATAAAGAACCTGTTATGATTTATAAAAGGAAATTTATGTCAAAGAATATTGTATTCCAAAAGTAGAATCACTATTTAAAAACCTGATGAAGGCTTATCAAGCAGGTGAAAAACAATTGTTGGGCTGAAATTTGAAAAAAAACTGTAGGCATAAATTCCCAATGTTATCCATCTGTCTTAACTTAATCTCAAGAACAGAGTTACATGGATGAAAGATGAGACCAGATATGGAAACCTTAGGGGCAGGAGGCCCCAATTAGCTAACTATATACAAACTTCCGATGCAAATGGAAGTCACATTATTTCAATTCAAAAATTTTCCCCTGAAAGGTATTAGATAGATGACCAGCATGACTGTATTGTTAAAGGAAAAGTATGATGTACAGGGGCAAGACACTATAGTACTAATTTTAAGTGGAAAGCATACATTTTAAATTAATTAAACATATGATTAAAAATTTCAACCTGGCAGTGTGACGATGTCACAATAAATAACTGCTAATTTTGATTATATTTAGTTGCTAGAAAAATGTAAAATGTGTGTTTGTAAACAAAACCTCTTCAAGACTCTAATCATTTTAAGGAAAAAGATAATTGGTCAAACAAACAAAGTTTGGTGAAAGTTGATACAGTAGACCCCCTATAACACGGTAGATACGTTCTGTGTTTTATGAAATTCATGTTGTACAAGTCCTTAAATACTTGAGTCAAATTAGTCTAGAATCTATTAATTTTATGGAAGAAAATCTTTCAAACAGCCGTAGTCTGTAAACTGCATACGTGCCGGGCTGTGATTGGCTCAACATTTTCAAAATACGTATAATTTTTTGGGAATAATCCATATAAACTATGCTATAAACAAAAAATTGTAGGATTATTTACCGAGTGTGCACCGTTCGACTACACCATTGCTTAAGCTTGTTTTCGTTGCGGAGCAGCGCATTGAACGGCAGACACGTGTTTCCTGAAGTTATTTTTTTGTGAAAAATTTGCTGAACTTTGGAGACATCATTAATATAAATATAATTTTTATGGCTGTTAAATAATAAATGGTTTTTAGTAGGTCCGCTGCTCATTTAAACTCAACGGTTTGTGCAATATCTGCTATTGGTCTAGATTTGACCAATCCTGTTGCGACATGAGTTGGCGATGACGTATTACCGAATTATAGGAGTTTTTTTTAGCATGTTTGTACAAATACTGTGGCAATTTTTTTGCCATGATAGGAATCCGAACTATAGGAACTCATGTTATAGGGGGGTTGACTGTAGTTCTGCTGTTAAAATCAAGATATGAGGAATATTTATTTTCTAGAAATGGAATTAGTAGAAGAATTTAATAACATTATTGATTAAATGTTAATTTCCAAAATTTTAAAATAAAATTTGAAATGTAATTTTTGAATAATTCATGTTGGATGTTTTTGAGCAGAACATTATAGAAGTTTTAGAAATTATTTATTTGACTGCAACTGCAGAATATCTTATACTTTCTTGTCTTGTAATTTTGTTCGAAAACAAGATTCAAATCAGTTAATAATTATGCAGAATTAAATAACCACTGAATTGAAGTATATTCTTGATGATTGATGAATGAATAAAAGCTTGTTTTACTATATTTATTACATTCAGGCTAACATAAACTGAAATTTCTGATGTAAAATAATTTATTAAGAACATTTATCAAGTTGTTTCAAGCAGTTGACAACATCTGGTGAATTGGATATACTATACCTTCTATAGTTTAATAAAATTAATTTTTTAAAATATTACTTATTTAGATTTTTAGTAATCTGTATTTATGGATGATTATTTCAACTTTTTGTTATTACTTTCACAAAAACAAATATGATAGTAGTAATGCAATTTTTAATCTGAATAATATTTAGTTTAGTAAAAGTATTTTATCATGATATAAATATTATTAAATAAATCAATTACTTTGAAGAATCATGTTTTTTTTAATTAAAAGGATAAACGATTCTAGGCATTTTATCAATTAGTCATCAGAAACATTCACAGTATGATTTAATATAATTAATTATATAATTCTGTTTTGTTAACAATTGATGAATGTTTCTGATGCTGAAAATGCTTAAAAACATTTGAACTTTTCATTTAAAGTAACTTAACCCTGTAGAGGTTGCAGTGTCAAAACTGTTAGATACAATAGTAAAATATTGGAACATTTACAAAAATTTCTTGATGTACAAACTTTGAAAGTGTCCTTTACTCAGTCTCTTTTTATACACCATCAGAAAATGACAGTTTTTTATTAAATAAAAACAAACTACTTTAAAATGTGTATTGTTTGTCAAAAGTTTAAGTGTATTTCTAATCAAATTTAAATTATTATTATTTTTTTTAATTAAGAGAAGAAAGATTAATTTCTAACAGAGTTTAATAAAGAAAAAAGTATAAAAATAAATTGATGTGAAATTTGCAATAATTGATTACAAATATCATCAATTGTCTG